GGGAGATGTCTGATACTGCTTCTCTCTTGTGTAGGTTCAGATGTAACACTTTTTATCTGAAGTTAAGTGTAAAAAAAAAAAAGGAGGAAGGTATGGGAAGTCCTGGGGCTGGGTAGGAAGAGAGGTAGGAAATGTTAATGAATGTAGCCGTGCTGATGTCTTTCTTGGAGAAAGAAACAGGTGAGCTGCCCTTGCTTTACACTTGCTTAGAGATGTATCTGTCCCACCGTGAGTATAAGTTTCAGTCCCCGGTTATGTGACCTGTAGGTGCCCAGTCTTGCTGTCATGTTTTGTATTATCTGTCTTCAAGGTAGTCACTAATGCCCATTCCCGTAGCATCTGAGAGCCTCTAGATGAAAGCTGTAAAAGTGCAGTGGTGAGCTTGTGCATGACATGAAATTGTGTAACAGGGGAATAGATTAGGATAAGGGTAATACTTCGAGGGGACGGGGGCCATGTCTGTCAGAAATCTGTGTGCCTGACTCCATGGAGGCTTCACCTTCCTAGTGCTGCATCAACAGTGAAACCTTTTGTAAAGAAGAAGAAATCTCTCAGAGGACCCCACCAGCTGCATTCAGAAATCATGTTTGCTCTAACAAACACTGGGGTGCTTGGGGCCTTTCCAGCCTGTGTTACCTGCAAATTTGTTCTCAATCCCCCATCCTGCATCACTTACTATCCTCCCCCTTCCAGGCAGAGGGAGCTCAGGGAGTGTGTGAAGATGAGAGGTGGTTGAGGTCAGGAATGGTGTCATCCTTCTGTTCCCCCTCCAAGCTGCTAATGTATGCTTCTGGAGAGCCACACGAACTGAGTAATTACTGAATTACAGCTAGATCAGAAGTGGTGACCTCAAAGACAGAAGGAGACTCTCCATCTCCATTTGTCAGTCCCCTTGGGGTCAGAAGGACAATTTTTCGCTGGGATCTGTGAGAGGGGGGAAAGGAAAGTGCAAGGTAAGCCTTACATTAAGGCATAACAGGGAAAAATGTTTGCTTTAGCCATTGCAGCGTTCATGTGCAGTAAGATGCAGCACTGCTTGCATGTGTGTAATGACAGCAGCACTGGTGGGAGCAGTGGCACTAACCCAGAGGGCTGCTCAGGGGACTTCATTTTGCACAGAATTGCCCATCCATCATAGAGGAGGGTGCCAAGTCTTGAGGCCATTTTTCTGCCTTATTTGTGCCTCTATCCTCAAAAGCATTTTGATTAGGAGATGGCAGAGAGGATTTCAGGGAGGATGTAGGTAGGATTTGGAAAGTTTCTGTTGTGGTAGTACCATGGTGGCTCTGTACAATTATGGCCGAGGTGATTTTCTTACACTAAAAGCAGAGACTTCAATCTTTCTTACAACTGTGGTGTAGCACATTTGTTGAATTTATAGCACTTACTCTTGGATAAGGGAATGTATTTGCTGGAAATTTACATTCAAACCTGTTTAGTTTGTTGTGTTGATTGTAAAATTGATCCTTTACGTGGGTTTTTAAAATAGTTTTTGGGTGTTTTTCTTATTTTTTCTTCTGTTTTTTTTTTTTTTTAATTTTGTTTTGGTTTTTTGTAACCATTTTTTGCCTTAAATCCTTGGAGTTTTTTCTTCTTTTCAGAAATGAAGGGTGACAGCATATAGATGCAACTGAGGACTTTACCCTGAAGTAGAAAGGTTTGCATGGATGTTAGATTTCCACCCTGATTGTTTGTGGGATTGTAGCCCTAGTAGCATGATGGGGTTACTTTCATCATTAGTCCTAAGAATGTTTTATATATAACAATTTTTTTTTGTGTAACTGACAGTGGTCAAGTAGGTAGATGTCCCTGAATGGCCGAGTCAGAAGGTTGAATTTCTTTCTTCTGGAAAGAAAATGAAATGTTCAGTGGCAAAGGAGAACTTGGCAATGTGAACAAGGTGTACTAATGACAGTGGTTTTTCATCGGGAGTCTGCAGACAGCCAAAAATTAGTTTCTGAGAGAATTAAATTATCCATTAAGCTCAGTGGGGTTGTACATTGAAGCCTGATATATCACTTGGAAAGCTGCAAAGGATATGGCGTCTCTACTTGCGTGATATTTAACTAATATAGTTTGGATAATTTTGTTTACATTCTGCACTTAAATTGACCCTGTGCATTACCAGTGATGCCTACTGTAGTGCAACAGCTGACAATGGTGTGACAAATGCCTGCATTTACAGCATGAGCTCTTTTGAAACTTCAGTTCGTCCTTCAAAATCAGCCATATAGTTTTCAAGCTTTTAAATATTTTAAAAAGCAACTCCTGTTGTATTTCCTTTGTAACACCTACAAAGTAGTCAACACTACAAAGTAATAGTTTAGTAGTTACTTTGTAACACTACAAAGTAGTAGTTGGGAAATGCCTCTCTGCAGCAGACTAGATATCCAGGTATATAAGTCTGTGAACTCACTTATTTTGGTCCTTTGAGAAATGTTTGACTTGGGAATGGTTGCTGTCCTTGTATTTTCATATGAATTTTTGAACATTTTACAAAGCTTCTCCTATTCATGCTGCAACTTCATTTTAGACATTAGGTAAAAAATACCTTGTTATAACAAGGTAACTAGATAAGGCATGCTGTCATGTTTTTATATATAGCAAAGGGTTTTACCTTAAGGTAAGTTTAAGTTTAGCTTTAGTCAGAGCGCTCTAAGCACTCCTACCTTACAAATCTACATAAAGGATTGACCTCAATTGATGCTTCACTTCAAAATCAGAAAACAGATAATGGAAAAACAAATTATAAAAATCTTATCGAGTTCCCCCACCCCATTACAGCTTTTATCACAGTCCTGGATCCCCAGGGGGAATGCTGCTCTAACCAAGCTCTTAGCATGCCGTGGCAGTCAACAAGATTAAGGCTGTTTCTGACGAGAGCAGCCTGGCGGTTTGTCACGGTGAATGTGCTGTGGGAGCCTCTTCTCCAGGCGAAGGAAGCGATGACCTGCACCTCGTGTGAGCGGAGCAGCGTGCCTGAAACCCCACCTGTGAATGGGCAGCCAGTGCCGGGGACAGCGGGGCGTGCAGTTCTGCGAGGGCTCGCAATAAGGCAGCGCCTCCGTGCTCCAGCTGCAATTTCCAGGGAGATGATGCGGAGCGCATCGCAATATTCTCATCTGAAGGAGACAAGGCATAGAGCACAGCAGTGGACTCGCCTCAGAAAGGAGCCAGTGCCTCTCGAGATCCAAGACGAGTGAGCAGAGGAGCAGGCAAGGCTTTCCTAGATGCTCCGGGTGCACGATTACCTGACCAGCAGCTGGGGAGTCCCTAACACCCACAAATTGTTAACTTGAAAGACAAATGGTAGAAGCACATGTAATTGTTGTCTGCTCTGGTTGTTTTCCCCAGACTACTGGCATCATTTTAGGCTTATCTAGATGGAATTTCAGCCAGCCGCCAAAAAATTTTTGACAAATAATGCACAGTATGAGATGTGGTGTTTTGTATTTATTTTTCATAAAAAGCAAGTCACCTGTGGAAGAGCCATCAGTGAAGTTGTCAGCTGGCTGTGCTTACAACACAGTCCTTCACAGCAGTTCATTGCCTTTTGATGAGCTCTGAGCAGAGGCCTTCTCTTGGAGTACGCCTTGCTGAGGATCTGGGAAACAAAGCTTGGGAAACAGGGCAGTATTGAAAGTATCATATCTGCTCAGTAAAGTTCCTGGCAAAGCAAGTTTTAAATGATGCTTGAGCTTTCTCTGCCCAGCACTTAAGAGCTTTGCAGACTGCCAGCCCTACTGCGCTTTCACGTGAAATGTTCTGAGTGGCAGATGGAGGAAACTGTAATGTCGTATAGAGCTTTCTTTGCTGGCATGCGGGTTTCAGTGAAGGAGGTGATGATTTGACAGGCACTGCATCCTTGCTCTACAGCTGCCCCATCCACCAGCCTCCTTGCCCTCTCGCTCTCAAACCCAAAAACTCGTGAATGAGCTGAAAAAAGCTTAATTCTCTCCAGCACAGAAATGCAACTAGACACGCCGGACTCCCAAATGCAAAGCCAGTGGGGACTCGGAGGGCTGGCAGTGCGGAGGCTCTGGGCGGGCGGTGCGGGGCAGGAGGGCCCGGGCGCCGCCGCCTCCATGTTGTTTCCTGAGATCCCCGCGCCTCCGCTCAGGCACCTCCGATCCGGGGCCCGCCCAGCCCCGCCGAACGGGCCGGCTGCCGCCTCGAGGTGCGCTCCAGGGCTCCGGGCCGCCTCAGGGCTCGGCCGCCGCTGTACCTGCCGGGGAGGCCGGGTGGAGACGAGTGGGCAAACGGAGCAAAGCCCGTTCTTAAAATGACTCGGGGGAGGGTGGCGGGGGGGTGGAGAGGGGCGCTGTTGATTTTCGAGGGGAGGGAAACGCGAGCTGCCCGGTGCCTGCCCACAGGGGCCGGGTGGGGCAGCACGCGCACCGGCCGCGCCTCGCCCACGTGCTCCGAGCGCGCGGGACCTGGAGGGGGGGCCGGGCCGGCGCGCGGCTCCTTTAAGCGGGCGCGTGGTGGTGGGAGGGGCGGTGGCTCCCTCACGCGCCCCCCCCCCCCCCACCTCCGCGCGCGCGCGCGCGAAGGCACGTCCCTGCACGCGGGGGCGCGCGCGCACGCGCTCCCCCTCCCCTCCATCCCTCCCTCGCCCGGCCGGGACCCGCCGCCTCGCGCCGCCGTTCCCGCTGGCGCGCGCGCTGGCTCCGCCGCCGCCCGCCGCCATTGGCTGCCGGGGGTCAGGTGACCCCGTGTTATTTCCTGTGTGTGTGTGTGTGTGTGTGACTCGCCCGGGCTGTGTCGGTGTGTGAGGGAGGCCTGGGGAGGGAGTGCGAGCTCCTGGCGGGGGGAGCCGAGGTCGCCTGGGCGTGTGGGAGGGGATGTGAGGGTCTGATCCGTGAGTTGGGGGGCGAGCCCTGGGTATGAGGGGGCTTGTGAAAGGGCTCCTGGGAAGTTTAACCTTCTCCTTCCCCCTCCCCCTGTTTTTTTTTTTTTTTTTTATTTTTTTATTTCTTGAAAGAAAACAAAAAATGTTTACGTGTGTTCGAAGACGCGCTCGTGCTACCTGGTGGGGTGCCCACCTGTTTTCCTGTCCCGGAAGAATGGGTTGTTTGCAAGAATTGTGAAGTTTTTGTGGGATTTGGTGTTTTCGTTGAAGAGATAAACGACAGAAGATGGATGGACAGTGCTCAGATTGTAGTAGGTGGACAGGCTGTGTTGGGAATGCTCGAGGTTTGCAGTGCCTCTCTGCTTTTTGGAGGTTCGACGTAGCCGTTGCTTATCTGCAGAGATAATCAGGATATAATGAGTTTGGGCTGCTGTGAGGATCAGTTTGTCTTTTCTTAATGGTGCTTACCTTGCTGGAAGTTGTGTTTAGGGCTGCAGTTGGAAGTTATTTTTCCTGCCTTGAGGGAAGGAATAAGAGAAAGTTATGTAACGTAAGTGTTCTAACCTATGTATCAGAGCTGCCTAATGGTACTGGGGCTCTGTTGTTAACCTGAAAATAAGAGCACGTTTGTGTGTGAATCAACAAGTGACTGTCTCTCTGGGTAGATTTGGCTCCACCAGAATCCTTTAATTCTTATGCATCCTGTCTTTTCCTGCATTAAAGGGTAGGCAGTTTGATTAAATTGCAGCATTGTTTTCTGTACCATTCCGTGGTTTTTAAGTGTTCCTTTGAAAACAAAAGGAGAAGAAGAGGTACACCTGTGAGAGGATTGAGTTTCAGGGGTTTCTCTGTTTAGGTTAGCATTTCGAGAGCTATTCATGTCTGTCGCTTGTTGCCATCTGTTGCTGCATGCATGGGTAATTCTTTGGAGAGTATGATTTTTAGCATGCTTCCTGACCAATGATGTGCATGGAGCAGTTGGATCACCTCTACTCAGATTTTATAGAACAATGAAGTGGCTGGATGATGGAGATGCAGCAGCTTCTGGATTAGGTTTGTAGCACGCTGGCTGAACTCAATTCAAGAAGAGCTGATTTCTTTTACACATTTTCCAGACTTCTTTTGTCAGATAAGCTTGTTTTTTGAGGCTTATTGATGGGTATTACGTAGCCTAACCAAGTGCATTTGGTTAAGTGTATGTGATAAACAATTTTTAGTACAGTTATTTGAGTTTTAATTTTGGCTGAAATGTTTCTGGTTGGGTTGTTTCTTTCTTTGTTTCTTTTGCTTTAAATCTATATCTCTTAATAGGGTTCCATGTTATTTCACTTTGAGTTGTTTGAAGCTGTATTATTTAATCCTAATATTAGGTTCCACTGGCATTTAAAAAGGCAGCTGCATTAGTATACTGCAGAGAGAATTACTGTTAAAAAAAGGAAAAAGATCTATTTGCTCGGTCATGTGTCTCCTAAACTTTGTTAATGCTACAAGGAGAGGAGGATAGCCATTCTTCATTTCTGTAAATTGCTGGTACATGAAATGCATGTTGTGTGTTCTGGTTAAATTAACAAGCAAGCTACTATGCTATTTGAGTGAAAGCATGACAACACTTTTTATACGAAAAATACTACTTTCCTATTGTACTCTTTTAAATCTTGTAGTTTTGGGATAGCTTTTGGGCTTTGTGTTGTTAGGTTTAATGTCTAGGGGGAAGTTCCTGGACTTTTTTGCTGGTTTGCTATTCTTCAGACTACTTAGTTTTATGTCTGTTAGCATCCTTTCTAGTAGAACTGTCTGTGTTTTGACACAATTTGGGTTTTAACCTTTAAATCAGTTCTCAGAGGTTTTGGGTTTGATGAAACGTGGGTTTTTGCTGAAACATATACTTTCCTATACCTTTGCAGCCTGGGGCAGGTTAAGCAGGGTTCCCTGTATGGAAGCTATGGGAGCAGCTTCATCATTTGTGACTTTGATAGGAGATCAGGAATTTTGGTTTTGTTGTCGTTTCTTTTCTTTGTTACTAATGCTACGTAAAAATAACCTGAGGTGAACTTTTATTAAAGGAGTAAATCTGTTTCTATAATGCATAAATAAGAAGCGAAGGTTATTTAAATGAAAGAGAACTTATTTGTGTATTAGTTGTAAAGGAGACCTCTTTTTATTGCCAGAAGCTTCCTTAATCTTCAGCTGAAGAAATAGGCTGTTACTAAGCTGTTTGCTACATTTTAAAGAGGACTGGGAGTGTAAGTAAAAACATTCTTAATGGTTCTGTGATTGATACATGTATGGAGTTTGTAGGACCGAGAGTGAAATGTCTAGGATTTTGAGGGTTTTTTTTTTTCCCCTCTCCCACTTCCCGTAAGTTTGTAGGACCGAGAGTGAAATGTGTAGGATTTTGAGGGGTTTTTTTCCCTCTCCCACTTCCCGTTGTGGAGATGTGTGCAAAGACAACCTTTTTGGGCTCTTAGGACACTGTTAAAAAGAAAATAATTGCACACCCCGTTTGTCCCTGTTTCGGTGACGTTTAACTAACCCAGGCACTGGGCACAGCAGAAGGGCAGTAATGCTGCTCCTGGAAGGGGCCCTGCTGAGAGCAGCACTGCACCTGTCCTGTTGCTGTTCGACAGCTTGGCATGCTGCTCTCTCGAGTGAGGGCATAATGTGCAAGAAACTTCAATAATTTCATGCTGCTTCCTTGGCTTCTCTATAATTTGAGATAAGGATGTTTAAGAGTTTATAGCTGGCTTATGCATATCCTGCCTTTTGACACAGGGCATGCCAGATCTCCATTTGGGTGGGATAGCTTTTTAATTAAAGCACGTGTTTATTTTTTCATACCTTGTTCAGTTACGTTTTATACTTATGAAAGGTTTTACACTTATGTTTTGGGAACCTGAGTTCTTATAAGTTACAAAGATTTAGTAATGCTTTTGGCAGTGCTAGCTTCTCAGACTTCAGAGTGTGCCTTAACTGGCTGTGTCAGAATTGGTGTTACTTCATCCCGTGGTAGGCCTCTGAAATAGGGAAGATTATGGGTGGCCGTTTCTGAAGAGCCAACTTAACTGATTTGTTGGTGGAGACTGGACTGAGACCAACCAACTCTTCCCATTCAAGAAATTAAAACTGCAGTTTGGTAGCAAAAGAGGTTTTTATTTACTGCTTTTGGTAAAATCTCTTTCAAAATAACATTTTAATTTCTGGTTTAGGTTTTGGACTTCTAAAATCAAAAATAAGGGCAGTCTTAAGTGTTTAAACCCACTTCTCATAGTGTTGATATGCTATGTATAATTTTCCTTGTTGTAGAAAAGCATTTAGTGTTACTGGTAGGGAACACAAACATAGCGTAAGCAGAGGTGTATACTTCTCTAAAATCATACAGGAGAGGCAGTTCCTGTAGTGGGATTCTGATGTTCAATTCTGTTCCTATCAAACTTTTCTTACTTATAAAAAGGGGAAAAAAACCAGGTGGTTCAGTTATTCTTATTGCCCTGGTCCCACTCCTGATGGTTCTTGACTAGACTTCAGTCTTGACTGAACTAGGAAAGTTGAAGATGTCTTCAGCCATGTGCAGCACTGCTGGTGCATCTGTATCATACTGGTGTCTGGCTGCACCACTCCTTGATTGCTTCAGCTGAGCCTTTCCACTGCTGCTCACCACTAAGATATATATTGATTTGTTTGGAGTCACTTTGCAATGCATGTGGCATTCTACATTATAGATGTACGTGGGTTTCCTTTCATTTTAAGAAGAGGAAAGGACAAAAATAAAAAGCAAGACCCAAAGACTCAAAAATTGAGACTGACATGTAGTCAACAGTGGATTCTGTTTGGTCCTGTTGGAGGATAAGATCTGCTATGGGTGCTGTAGATTCTGTGCTTTGCTGCCTGTTTGCCTTTGAAGACAAAAAAAATATAGAATTGCATTTTACCAACTCTTGAACTTCTTGCTGCCTTCATGACCAACAGCACAAGCAGTCAAACTTCCAGTGTTGGTTACAACAGAGCAGTGATCTTGCAGTAAGACTCGTGTTTCTTCTTGCCTCTTACCATTGATTCCTCAAGAATGGAGCTAAGCAGTGGTAGCCAAAAGTGCAAGCATCCTCTTGTCAGCTCAGCCTGGTGACAGTGAATATGCCTGTGTTTTTTTCCAGTGCTTTTTGTATTTCTCTTTTAGCACAGTCTTTGTAACCTGTGATGATATTGGAAGAGAGGAAAAAGAGTTACCAGGTTCTTTGTCAGGGAGTACTGGCTTGAATCCCTTGAGATTTGACCTGTTCTCCGTTTGAGAAGATCGTTGTTTCTTGCCTGAACTGTGATGCAACAAATAGAAAAAAAAACGATGAAAATTATTTTCTTTCCCCCTACCTCTTCATTACAAGCACACAGCATGCCTGCGTTCATACCAGTGTCTGTGTATGGAATTCATTGTCTGTTCTGTGCTGGAATATGATGCCTTATTTTGTAGTATTTTACTGGTATAAACTCAGTCATCTAATTGCTAGTAAATTGCAAATCCTAAACAGAACCCTCTGATGAGCTCTGCTAAGAACTCTGTACTTAGCTAGAAATTGTATAGGGAGCTGCTATGCTGGAAGCTTTAGTACAGTTTATTGGAAGTATTGTTCATATCACTTTCCTTGTAAATTAGATGCTGCAGAGTGTCTTTTTAATAGCTTTTAACTGATCTAAAGAGTTGGTATTATAAAAGCTAACTGAATGGCTTGTGTCCATGTACAGCATCACTAATGACTGGGAAAAACATACCTAAAACTTATTAGCTGAAAGAAAAAATATGTGCTGTCATACTTGCCAGAAAAGGCATAAACCTTCATACACCATAATGAAATGTTGTTAATCAACCTTCAGTTTGATATCTACAGTTTGCTGTTATCTTTGTTCATATGCCTGGATACTCTTGAATTTCACTGGGATTTGATTTGTTTAACAGTGTTTTCTATGAGTAGATGTTCTGGAATAGTGGAAATGCTATATGTGATTTTTAAAAGCTTAACATAAATGGGAATGCTGTGTGATTAGCATTACATTTTCTGCTGGAAATAAAAAACATCAGAGCAGAAACAGTGTGTGAGGTTCCTGGAGTGTGTGTCCCCTGACACAAATGATGAGGTGTCAAACTAGGGAAGGCACCTGCTGGTCCTGTGGTTTCTGAACAGAGAAGGACTGTTGGATGATGTGATGGTCAGAGAACATCCTGGGCAGAGTGATCATGCAAGGATAGTTTTCAGTTCTTGGGGAAGTAAGGAGGGGAGTCAGCAGAACTTCCGTGTCAGACTTCCAGAGAGCAGGGAGT